TAAGGCACCTCACTGCTTGAAGGGAGATGAGCCATCAAATTGGGCCAAAACACGACTTGTCACACAAAAGACCATAAACCCCTTTAGTGACTATTAAAGCGGGCGGTCCCAGGATCAACTTTACACAGACTGACGTGAGATTTTTCAGCGAGATGCCCCAGGGAAAAAAAAACTTAGAACATTTTTTTTTTAAGATGGGCTAAATCCAAAAGCCTTGACGATTCGCCCTAAGGTAAATATAATTAATAGTGCCTTTAGACATACTTGCGAGAATGCATTCATAATTGCCTATCTGAAACTTGACATGCACAACTGTTTTACTGTAAACATGAGTGTTACACCGATTTTATTACTTTAGTAAGAATCCCGTTTTTTTTTTTTTTTTGAATGGTAAACTCAAATCTGATAGCCATAGAATTTACTAGCAAGTCTCTTGATGGTACATGTTAAATCATGCTTGTAAAGACGTGACACGTTTGCATACAGGCGTAATGCATGTTTGCAGGTACAACCCATTTGTATTCTAACGTAATACTTGTTTATAAAGGCGTAACGTATCTTAATATTGGGTTAAATCATGGCTACATGTGAATAACAAGACCTGCATGCTGCTTCACTTCGCTCGTGTCATAAACCGCAACACAATGTACATGTTCCGCTGTTTAAATGAATGTGTTAAGCTTAAAGCAGAAGAGACACAACAACACTAAAGAGAAACTAAGTAAGATGTTAAACTCAGAGGGGGGAATGAAAGACTTCGATAAATTAGACCAAGTCAGTAAAGTATCACACTTCATAACCAGAGCAATCCATAAAAGCAACGAATTTATAAACAGTGTATTCTTGTGAACATAAGAAAAAAGTGCAAGACTGAACCACTAAACTTTTGTAACACTGGCGAGCGTTACAGCTACTCCAAGTACAGGCACTGACCAGTGGTAGATTTTCTTAACATGACCGTGGAAAAAATGCAGAGCGGCAAATATACAATTTGTCTTTGCTTCTTCAATGCCAGCTACTGGTTATGGTGGCACTGGGATGCCCAATGCTTGGGGGCTAGGATGCCCAGTGTTTGGTGCTAGGATGCCCAGTGTTTGGTGCTAGGATGCCCAGTGTTTGGTGCTAGGATGCCCAGTGTTTGGTGCTATGATGCCCAGTGTTTGGGACTAAGGATATTCAGCATTTCGTGCTAAGATACCTAATGTTAGGGGAGGAAAGAGGAAAGAAGAAATTGTCTTTGGTAGACACAGTCTGTGTCGCATGTCTGGGATGACTAGATCCTCCCAACTAGAACGTGAGGGAAAGATGTTTATTAATTTTTTTGGTTTTCACGGGCTATATTTCTCTTAGCAAGAGTGTTGGCGAAAATGTGAGCGATTGCAAGCATTCATTCTCTCTCTCTCTCTCTCTCTCTCTCTTCTCTCTCTCTCTCTCTCTCTCTCTCTCACTCACTCACTCAGATAATAACTATAAATTAAGTACATATTAATATTTGGCAAATATGATGTCTGTGGAGCTTCAGGTGATGAAACTGTTGTTCATTGTCTGCTGATTAACTCCTGTTGAACACCAGCTCAACACCTGCTCATCCTCTTGTGATAAACGTATGATTAAACATATGTTAAACAACACCTGCTGAAGAAGACTCAACGCTACAGCTATAGCTGTCAGGTCGAAGCCACGACCATAAAGGTCATTATTTCCAAAGAACTGGAATGACCCACAGCACAGTGGCCACGGCCCTCGCCTCCTTTACCCACGGCTCTCTCCTCGTTTACGCACGGCCCTCTCCTCGTTTACCCACGGCCCTCCTCGTTTACCCACGTCTCTCTCCTCGTTTACCCACGTTCTCTCTCCTCGTTTACCCACGTCTCTCTCCTCGTTTACCCACGGCCCTCTCCTCGTTTACCCACGGCCCCCTCCTCGTTCAGCTACTGCACCATGCGAGGCAATGAGGTTCAATCCAAGGAAGGGGAGGATAGCTCTAATTCCTTGGATCAAGACCCCTGGAGCAGCGTGAAACCTTGAACCGTGACCTTGTACGGTGAAGTTGAAGACCTCTGGGGAAGCTTTGGTGCTGGTAACAGGCTCTTTATCCGAGGAACTTTAGCAACCCTTTCTCCTTGGATTAAATTTGTTTTATCGCCTCGTTCCAAGGAGCTGCATGACTCCTGCGGGCTAAACACTTCCAAGATACCATGTTTGTTCACCAACTCTGGGGTGGCGTGCACCCCCACTGTGGGGTGGCGTGCACCCCCACTGTGGGGGTAGTATGTGTGTGAGGGAAGGAGAGAAGGCAACAGAAATACATTTACTTTTTTTTTTTATCTTCCAGTGACTGTCACTCGTCCTGCCGCCTCGTTACGTCTTGATGACTGAGTAATACTTGTACAGATGATCTGTTCCACTCGAGGGGCCCATTGCACTCTAGGGGTCGGTTCTACTCTCTCTCTCACTCCCTAGAGTCTGCTTGACTTTCTCTAGGGTTCGCTTGAACAAGAAACTGCCCGACTCTAAGACTCCGTGTCTTCTCAAATCTAGAACTTGCTCAGTTCTCTCTGGGGCTTTTTCCACTATCACTCTAGGTTCTTTTTGACACTAGTTCTGGACCCACACTGATGATCCAGGGGGAACCACACAAAGAACGTATCCCCTTTACATAAAATGGTACAATGTAAATCTTGCTTGAATAAAGACTATGCAAAGAGCATGTTTTAACAGTGTCAAGATTCCCTCTTCCAGTGTGGTTGTCACACAAATAGCGCCTCTTCCAGTGTGGTTGTCACACAAATAGCGCCTCTTCCAGTGTGGTTGTCACACAAATAGCGCCTCTTCCAGTGTGGTTGTCACAAATAGCGCCCTTCCAGGTGGTTGTCACACAAAGCGCTCTTCCAGTGTGTTTGACACTATATGGACCCACCTTTCCAGGGGTGTCACACAAATACGCCCTTCATGGTTGTAACTTCGAATAAAGGCCTCTTCAAGGTGTTTCACACAAGGAGCGCCTCTTCCAGTGTGGTTGTCACACAAATAGCGCCTCTTCCAGTGTGGTTGTCACACAAGGAGCGCCTCTTCCAGTGTGGTCGTCACAGTAAAGGAGAATCAGTATAACCAGCTGTTCGGTAAAAAACGTTCCATTAGGTTACAACAAGGAAATGCGACTAATATCGTGTGATACGTCACACTAAGTGTTCTCTTGGCTATCAGCTAAATTCAGTGCATCTTACATTAAATAAAAAAAATACTAATAAATGGAGAGGTTTTACGAAATCAGTGCTGTGAGGGAGAGGGTGGCGAGGGAGAGGGTGGCGAGGGAGAGGGTTGGCGTAACAGTGAGGGGAAGATGGAGAGAGCCTTCCTAGATCTTCCCCATCAATGCTTTGCGTTTAATCTTTTGGACAAATGGAAAACAATCAAATGCGGAAATAAACCTGTTACTAACTCTCCTTAAATAAAATAAATAATTAAAAACAAGAGTCCAACCCCCCATACTTGTTGAATATAAAAACCTAGTATTATAAATTCTGAAAAATTTTATTGCAAATATTTTGATTTTAGGAAGATCCAAAAAGAGGTCATCACCCCTGGTCGTGACACTTCTTTTTTTTTCCCAACAATGGTTCTTTTGGCACGGTACATATATACATAACAATAATACAAACACACACACACAGATACAGGATCACACAACAGCACTCCATTGAATATTATTTTGACCATTGTTGATGCCGACTTTCTTAGTCTGGTTTTGATGCTTCGTCATCTGATCCTCTGAAACAAAATGTTTAAAGCTTGAAAATTTATAATAAGTTGCTTATGTTAGGTGTTAGGGAAGCCGGGTGTAGAGGTGGTGTCAGTTTTGGATGAGATATCATCAGAATCAGAGTTCGAGGTGTCAGACTTAAACGGCATGTCAGGTTAGGAGGGAGGTGTCAGGTGTGAAAGCAATATCTTTAAACACCTCCATTGCTAAGCCTTTATACACGGGTTCAGACATATTACACTTGAAATTTCTTCCTCTTGTAGTACGTGAAAGAGTCAGTACTGATGACAAGTTATCTTCCCTCACTCTAGTTCCTTCGTAAACATACTGCTACACAAACGTTTTCTTCGCACAGTTTAAAACATTTTGCAGACAATCGCAAAACAAATTACCCTCCTCCTGCGTGAGTGTATGTCACAGGTATACGTGCATGTATATACATTAGTATTATAAATGTCGAAACATATTTGAGAAAAAAAATTCTGGAGTTACCTAGCAATGTACTTCTCTTTGCACCAGAACCAGACTTAAGAGTTTTTGCATCACACAATTGAGCGAAGCTACAATAACCACATGTTGTCATCTCTCACTCAAAACTTCGATCGAAACATTACTTTCAAACCACTCGTAAATTTTTTTTAAAAATGCAACAAACTCGGGTGTAAAATGTAACGAGGCTTCCTTTGTATTTTTTTGTAACTGTTTAATGAGTGTATATAAAACAAAGTTTTGGTCAAAATGGATATGATTTTATATAATACATTATATTAATATATATATATATATATATATATATATATATATTATATATATATATATATATATATATATATATATATATATAAATTAAAAAATTAAAAGGTCCATTGGACCTTTGGTGTTCAAAGCTTGATCTTATCAAAGAGAAAAATCAGGAAAGAATGGATAGTGTACCATTCAGTTTTTCCCTTACATGAACCAATAAGCATTTTTTTCGTAAAAAAAGTCCATGAAGTCTTTAACAATGTGGGACTTAAGAACATCAATTTACCTACTTTATAAGACTCTTCACAGTTCTCTTCTTAGTCCATCCTCTTCAAAAAATCGAAAAGTGGTTCAGAATCAAAACAAACTGAGATGAGCACTTCAAAACGGTTTATATATATATATATATATATATATATATATATATATATATATATATATATATTATTAATATTTTTAATATGTATATATGTATATAAAATTTTATACATACTATATTTTGTCTTGAGAGTATAAGCTGTGTCCGTGTGTTAGACGCACGATACAGCCAACATGAAGGTCTAGATGGAGTCAGGCTTTGCAATGGCGAAGATTAAAAAAAGAGGATATCCTGGAACATAGGTAAGGTTCCTGTAAGCTGGAATCCAGCGCCAGGACCCACTACAAGGCACTTCCATGTCCGCCTGGATCCCGCAGTCTCGCATCCTTCAGGCTAGTCCGCCAGCAGCGGAAGTTCTCCTATTAACGGGACAGACTCCTGGTACTTTTCACCTGTGAAAATGTGGGTATGTATCTCACGAGCATGGTACTTGTCGCACACAAGTCACACAGCATTGTAATGATTACACACACGCACATGCGCACGCGCACACGCATGCACGCACCTATGTAGCCTTGTCAGGATGTGACTGACATCTTGACATGTTCATCTTCGGGTATGTTGGGAGTGATGAATTATCTTAAGTCGAAGTGAGAGATGGGAAGGGAAGGAAAGGTTGGGAAGGGGGGTGCGGCGGGAGTTCCAATGAAGAAGGAACACATGACCTAGGTAAGTCCCCAGGCCTCAAGGCTCTTTCTCCAATAGATGCCTAAAATTACACTATCTTACATCACATTTTTGAGCATTTGCTGTGCACGATGGGGCTGCACTGAGCCACCTCCACACGTCGTCACGCACACGCTCCTCTTGGAGAAGCAAGTGAAGCACCAACTGTTCCTGATATGTGTGTGCCTTGATGCTTTTTCACCAGAAGAAGCACGCGTGTGGAGAGTGACTTTTACCCTCGTGCGCTAACTCAATGAACCTCACTTTCATTCATCGAGAAGGAATAAAAGTGAAAGCATTGAGACTGGTTGCTCGGTAAACTTTACGACACTGAAATAGCTGCTCTCCCAAGCACCCCTTATTTCCAGGTATCAAATGAAGGAGAATGCACACCAATCTTTTCCAGACCTCACGTGTCATGAGTTTATCTCCATGGCAGCAGAAAGACCAATTGACTGTCACAACTGGAAAGTTGTAATGAGCGTGACGTTCCAGGTTTCATGGGAAGCCATCATCCTCTTACTGAGTTTATCTGTAATGCCACTGTCTAGAGATTTCTCAAAATCTATCTGGGAAACTTGCAGAAATCACACACACGAGTTGCTATTGTTCCGATCATTCCCGCTAAAGTTCTGTTGTCAGAATTCTTCGGTCTCATTTTCACACAAAAAGAACGCACCAAACATTCATCAGTTTCAGGGTGATTAATGTGTTTTGAGACTTACTGAGGACTTCACTTTAGTGCTTAATTACCACCAGGGTACACATCACCTGGTTCACTTTAGGCTCCTAGAGAGTTACTGAAAAAGGTCACTTCAAATCGTCGTAGTCAGCTCATTACCAAACCTAAAATGGAAGAGGCTCGTTGTAAAGTTGGTATTGTTAGCTTGGCACGAAGCCTCTAGCAACTAACCTCAGCAGGTAGCATCAACAGGTAGTGTTCAGCATACCTGGGACACCACGAGAGGGACTGAGAGGGCTGCTGTGTGAGGAGCAGACCTCACACACTCACCAGCGAGGGCCGAGCACCTGGCCAGATCAGTGCCCACTTTGATCTGGTGCACAACACTTTTTTTTTTTACCCTTAGCTGTTGAAGACTCTAATTTTTTTTTTTAGCTGTCTTTAACTCCAGCCTCACACCAAATGACCTCGGTGCTCCAAGGGAACACCAGCCGCAGAGAGCTGACCAGCATCCGGAGCGAAGGTGGAAAGCATGGGCGTGTGTGGGGGCGGGTGGGCGCGGGTGGGAGACTGAGGCTTGCTACTGTACTGGCCACCACCCACACCCACGCCCGTAGACGACGATGACGACACGGGGATGTTCATAGACCCGTTGCGGATGTAGTCCTTTGGGAAGTGGAGCTTGGAAGGCGGATTCCTCCGTAACGACCCGTTGTTTTGGGTGCTGGCGAGGGGGGTGAGCGGAGCGGGCGGAGGCTGGTAGGTGTTGTAGCGGTTGGAGAGCGGGTAGTGGTCGTCAGCAGCAGTAATGTTATAGTGGTCGGGCGTGGTGTTGCGGCGACCCAGGGTCCCGTACCCCGCCGCCGCACGGTCTGCAAAAACAAAATATATATAAACATATCAGTTTTATGTGGATTCCCCAATTTTGTCCTACCAGCACTAGTGAAGGAAAAAATTTCGCTTCAGACGTTGTTACTGAAGATATTCTTAAATATAGAAATTATTAATACTAACTGAACTGTCCGGGGGATCCTGGACGCTGACACTGTCATAACTTTTTACCACAGTGAATCTTGTAGGAGAAACTATAAACCCGGTGAAGAGCAGGGATGACATGAGTACAATTAGAACAGTGCGTTAACATCCAGGGCCCAAGACTCTTCAACCTAATATTAGCAAATATTAGTAGTATTTAAACTTGTATAGAAGCTCCCAAGAAGCTAGATAGCTTCCTGGTATAAGTGCCTGATCATCCTGGTTATGATG